TAATTGCTGAATTATTATGGTGGTTGTCTAATATGGCTGAAGCCCTTAAAACAACAGCTTACCTTCCCAAGGACCACTTCCTCCTCCTTCCCCACTCCAGCCCTGGGTGCAACTTCCTTTTCCCTTTCCCGCCCACACAAAGGGAGCCTCCAATCAGCTCCTTATATGTCACTAAACCCGCCCCTCAGGCTCCGCCCCTAGCAGAAGTCCATAGAGTCTCAGGCCAGAGGATCTGTCCATCTCCCTGCCCTCGGTCCTCTCTGTGTGCTTAGAGTTAATAAAGGCTTTCCCTCCCCCCTTTCTGCTTCTCTGCTGCACCAACGCCTGCGCCATCGCTGTTACCTCTGAAACCTATCAGTAATCTCACTGGTTGACCATAGTTTTGTCCAACCTCATGCCCACCTAAGCAAGTTCCCATGTTCTCCTCCTTAGACTCACATGGTTGGACTCTATAAGTTTCCTTGGGACTGATAAGTTCTGGCCCTAGTAAGAATTGCTGAATTATTATGGTGGTCATCCAATATGGCTGAAATCCTTAGAAACAATAGCTCATCTTCCCAGAGACCACCCCCCCCTTCTCCAGCTCAGCCCAGGGTGCAGCTTCCTTTCACCCTCCCGCCACCTCAGGGGAGGCCCCAGTCAGCTCCTCAGGTATGTCTAAACATCTCCCCACCCCCACCCCTGCTGCAAAAGGCCATGAAAGCCTCAGCCTCCCCTTGTTCCAATCCAGAGAATTCCTATTCTTCCCAAATTCTCTCTGTGTCCTCTAAGATAATGAAGCCCCTTTTCCTTTTTCCTTCTGCCTGTTTCTCTGTTGCGACACCATCAAAACCTATCAGGGATCACCTGCTTGGGCCCCCTCCTGTCTCTTTCTCGGACAGGAGCTTTCTTTCCCCCAATAAATCTATACTGCTCATAACCTCTGTTTGTTCCTAAAATTCATTCTTCACTTTTAGAGAACATGAACTCTTCCCAGCAAACTTTCAGGTTGAGAGTTTCATTGTTTCCCCTGTATCATTTGGAGGCCATCCACCGAGATCATTTTCTCCCTCTATCAGAGCCACTGCAGACCCCTAGGCCAGCGCTGCCTCTCACCTGGCCCAGGTGACCACACCCCAATTTCTGCCTGAAGAGGTCCTAGTGGGCAGGCAGGCGGCTCTGATGTGAAGAACAGCTTCTCCACCCGTGAGCGTCCCCTGCTTGCTGGCCCCCTCCTGCGTGGCTGGCCTAGGCAGCATGAGGCAGACCTCTGCCAAGGTCTTGCTGATGGGCACCCACGTGTGTGGGCTGGGGTGCAGCACGGGCTGGGAGGGGAGGCTCTGGGGAGGGACACCTCCTCGGGGACCTCACATCTGGGTGTGTGAGTTATGGAGCTCTAAACAACCCAACAGTGCTTAAGAACCCTCTGCGCAGTTCACCGTCTTGTCCGGAGCACTTAGCCTCCACCTGGCAGCCAGCCCAGCAGCCCCCTGGAAGAGCTGGAGATTGCTGGGAATGCCCAGGAGGTCAGCAGAGGGCGGGAGGAGACCTGTGATGTGGACTGTGGTGGTTGTGTGGAGTGAGAGGAGTGTGGTGATGAAGACCTTGTGGTCGCGGCATGAGGGAGTCCGATGAACTTGGCTCTAGTCCTGCCCCCAACCCTGCCTTTCTGGGTGACACTGGGCAGGTCACTTGCTTTACCTGGGTCTCAGTATCCTCGTGTGTCACTCAGCAATAGGGATCACCATGCTGGCCAAGGAGGCCTAGATCTGCTGCCCGCAAGCTCACAGCATGAGCAGGGAGAAGGGGTAGGGATCGTGTGGGGCTCCAAGTGCCACATGGAGCAAGACAGGGCAGTGCTTGGGTGTACTGCAGGAGGGGGTCAAGAAGCTGACTTCAGGGTGTGGCCAGAGTGGCTCCAGTGAAGCGAAGCCATGTGTGAGCCCACGTGCTGGCCCTGCCCGAGTAGGCGCCTCAGAGGGGCCGACTGGACAGTGCGTGCTTCTGAGGCACACGCTGTGGGCCCAACCCTCCCACGGTGACGTGGAGCAGTGGCAGTGCTGGTGACCCTCTTTTCTTTCTTTTAAAATTTATTTATTTATTTATTTA